TCACGCCTCTGCCTATTCTTTTCAGCTTGGGTCAGGTGAGGTCAGGCAGCCCCGAACTGCATGGACTCATCCAAAGGCACTTCTGATGGGAGCGCAGTCTTGATGGGAGCGGATGCAGCCTCTGTCTGTCGTCGCGCCCATCGCTGCTGAAGCCTGGCATCGATACAAAGGCACAGATGCATGAGCTCCTGCAGGGTGCAAGGGCATTCAGTGTGCGCCAGCTCATCAAGAAGCTCCGACGACAGGCCTTCCTGGAACTGGTCTATCAGTGCTGCCTCATTCCATTGCAGGTCCTGGGCGACCACCCGGAAGTAAGCAAGATGGTCAATGGGCGAACCGTGCCCCTGCCTCAATTCTCTCAATTGCCTGTTTGCCATTTGGGCCCGAACAGGAACCTCAAACATGGCCCTTAACTGATGGCAAAACTCGGCATAATTATCCAACAACTGGTTGGGCTGGGTTAACAGGGGCATCGCCCAACACGCTGCAGACCCGGACAACAGGCTAATCAAAAACCCCACCTTATCCCAGTCAGTGGAAAAGTCCTCCGGCCGAAGGCTCATATAAAGCTGGCACTGTCCAAAAAATGCTGGAAATTGGACCAACAATCCATCAAATTTATCCGGCACCGCTACTGGACATTTGTGGCACGGCAGGACAGCTTGCATCTGCGCAACCTGCGCAGTCAAAAGAGCCACCTGGTCATTGTCTGCTCTGAGCCGATCCATGGTCACCCCACCTAAAACAGAAGCAACTTGGAGGGGTGGTTGGGAGCAAAATGTGATGACCCGGGACACGGCACAAAGGCAACACAGTCACATAAGCAAGAAGAGTCCCTTTACTATCTCCAACTTTGCCCCCAATATCCAGGTTACCTTCGGCTGAAGAAAAACTCTCCCAGGAACAGCCTTTAACTATAGAAAATTCAGTCCAAAACAAGGTACATACAGACTGTAACTAAAAATCCAAACAAACAAAGCTGCAGTAATTAACTTGACAGGACAGGAGAAAGACTTTCAGACTTGAAAGCACAGCAACACTCACACAGTTGGGAAGATGCCAGGAACACAGATAAGCCACGACGATACTAGATAAATTCACGATTTGCTCCAAACAGCTTGCTATGCCAGCTTCTCTTTTTAAACACTGTGTTCCCAGCTGCAGCTAATGAAGGGAATCAGGGCCCTTTCCTCCACTGTAAGCCATGCAACTCATGTTGCTCCCTTCTCCGTTCCTCCCTGTGTGCCCTAGGATGAAAAAGGAGTGGGCCTGGGTCTTCCTCTGAATTTCCTCTCCATTGTTCTACCTCTTCTCTAGTCTGCCCAGCCGGACTTTGCCCTTCCCCAGTGTCTTCCACAGTCAACGGAGCCACACTCCCACTCCCTGTCAGCTGCTTGGCCTCCCCCTCGGAATCAGATTACGATAGGGGCATGACAGGGACTATATAAACCAGAGCTCACCAACCTCAGCAACTTTAAGACTTGTGGACTTCAACTGCGAGAATTCCTCAGCCAGCTAGCTGAGGAATTCTGGGAGTTGAAGTCCACAAATCTTAAAGTTGCCGAGGTTAGAGACCCCTGATATAAACCATCATGACTCACCCTAGCTCAGCATAGGGAAGATAATCTTTTATCTATTAAGAATCACAGGAGAGGTAGTCGATTCATTTAGTGACTGTTTGAAGTTACAGCGGAAGTGAAAAGAGTGATTCATGGCCTATTTTTCACACGTTACCACTGTTGCAGCCTCTCCATGGTCATGGGATCAAAATTCAGACGCTTGGCAATTGGCTCATATTTAGGACGGTTGCAGTGTTTCCTGGGGTCGCATGATCCCCCTTTGCGACCTTCGGACCAGCAAAGTCAACGGGGAAGCCAGATTCACTTAACAACCCTGTGGCTAACTTGACAGAGGAAGAACAACAGAATAACAGAGTTGGAACCTTGAAGGTCTTCTAGTCCACCCCCCTACTCAAGCAGGAAGCCCTAAACCATTTCAGATAAGTTGACATCCAATCTCTTTTTTATCCAATCTCAGTGCTGGAGCACCCACAACTTTTGGAGGCAAAGTCATTCCACTGATTACCTCATTCACTTAATGGTGGCAAGAAAAGTTGTAAAATGGGGCAAAACTCACTTTAAAAATGTTCACTGAGCAACATAAACTTTGGGCCTCAATTGTGGTCATTGGGGGATGCCCGTAGAGTGATGCCAGATGAAGCTAAAGCCTTCGAAACCAACCTCTTAACCCTCCCAGAGGTCCCATAGACCCCGCAAGTTAGATGTACCGTTAGATCTTTCTCCCTCTCCAATGCTTTGCTCCCAGATCTAAAAGAGCCCTTAGACTTATATACCACTTTACAGTCATTTTACAGCCCTCTATAAGCGGTTTACAGAGTCAGCCTGTTGCCCCCAACAATCTGGCTCCTCATTTTACCCACTTCGGAAGGACGGAAGGCTGAGTCAACCTCGAGCCTGGTGAGATTCGAACTGCCAAATTGCAGTCAGCCGGCAGTCAGCAGAAGTGGCCTGCAGTACTGCACTCCAACCACTACGCCACCGCAGCTCATTAAACTAGACATGCCCAGTTCCTGCAATTATTGTTCATATGTTTTGGCCTCCAGTCCTCTAATTTTTCTTAGATTAGATGTTCATCACTGTTTACCGACAGTGGGGAATATTTGTAGCTCAGGGTTGAAATAGCAATGGCAATAGCAATAGCACTTAGACTTAACGCTTCATGTGCTTTACAGCCCTCTCTAAGTGGTTTACAGAGTCAGCCTCTTGCCCCCAACTATCTGGGTCCTCATTTTACCCACCTGGGAAGGATGGAAGGCTGAGTCAACCTTGAGCCTGGTGAGAATCAAATTGTCAAATTGCAGGCAGCCAGCAGGCAGCAGAAGTAGCCTAGAGTACTGCACTCTAACCACTGCGCCACCGCAGCTCATACTGCTAGTCCTCAATGTACAAGCACGATTGGGGACCAGAATTTCTGTGGCTAAGCAAGAGCGTTGTAAAGCAATTCATGCCCAGTTTTACAACCTGCCTTGCTATGATGTTAAGCGAATCACGGCAGCACATTGCCCAGCTGTTAAGCAAATCCAGCTCCATTGACTTTGCTTGTCAGAAACCAGCTGGGAAGGTCACTGACTGGGATCACATCACCCTAGCACAGGGTGTCCAACCTTGGCAACTTTAAGACTTGTGGACTTCAACTCCCAGAGTTCCTCAGCCAGCTTTGCTGGCTGTTCCAATCGTTGCAAATATATTCCAGTTGCCAAGAGTTTTGATCACGCGTACGTGGAAGGGTGCCACAATGGTCACAAGTGTGAGAATCGGTCTCAAGTCACTTTGTTCAGTGCTGTTGTTGCTTTGGACAGTCGCAAAACAAATGGCTGCAAATGTGTTATAGCTATTATGGCAGAATCTCCAACCAATGACTTTTGGGAAATGGCTGACTGATAGATACAGATTAACAGAGTTGGAAGGGACCTTGTAGGTCATCTAGTCCAACCCCCCCACCCAAGCAGGAGACTCTACACTATTTCTGACAGATGGCAGTCCAGTCTCTTCTTGAAAGCTTCCATGGATGAAGATCCCACAACTTCCGAGGGCAAGCTGTTCCATTAGTTGACTGTTCTCACTGTCAGAAAATTTATCCTTATTTCTAGGTTAAATCTCTCCTTATTATGTGTTTCTCACATAATAAGGCCGGGCCTTATGTTTTTTGAGCCCCGAAAAAATGGCTAGGCCGTCTTTTCGGGGGTGACTTAATTCCCCCCTTTGCATCCTTATCTAGAGCGCCCCGCGGGCAGCCTTGCCACCAGCCGCTCCTAATGGGTGATCATGGCGAAGCACAGAGAGCTCCCTACTCCCACCAAACACCTTTGCTGCAGACCTAAGACCTTTGGCACCCGCCTCTGTTGCTTTCCCTTCTGCCAATTCCACCACCATGTTTGGAGCTGCCGCTTCCGTGTTTGGAGTGCTGCTGCCATTTGGAGTGCCGCCGCCATTTGGAGCACCGCCACCACGTTTGGAGCTGCCGCTTCCGTTTTTGGAGTACGGCTGCCATTTGGAGTGCCGCCACCATTTGGAGCACCGCCACCATGTTTGGAGCTGCCACTTCCGTGTTTGGAGTGCCGCCGCCATTTGGAGCACCGCCATTTGGAGCACCGCTGCCACGTTTGGAGCTGCTGCTTCCGTCTTTGGAGTGCCCCCGCCATTTGGAGCACCGCCGTCATGTTTGGAGCTGCCACTTCCGCGTTTGGAGCTGCCGCCGTGTTTGGAGTGGCGGTGGCGCTCCAAATGGCGGTGGTGCTCCAAACGCGGAAGCAGCAGCTCCAAACGCGGTGGCAGCTCCAAATGCGGAAGCGGCAGCTCCAAATAGCAGCAGTGCTCCAAACAGCGGTGGGGTTCCAAACGTGGAAGCAGCAGCTCCAAACGCAGCGGCAGCTCCAAATTTAGAAGCGGCAGCTCCAAATGGCAAGTCCCCCCGCCCTTCCCCCTTATTTTGAATGTTTTAAAATAGGCCTAAATTTGGGGGAAGGGGCTTAATTTGATTTTATGCCAATAAAACATGCTGGGCCTTCCTATTGGTGGAGGCCGTATTGTTGGAGAAACACGGTATTATTCCTTGTCTGGCGTTCAGGTGCCTTAGAAAATAGCTTGACCCCTTCCTCTCTGTAGCAGCTCCCCAAATATTGGAGGACTGCTATCCTGTCTCCCCTGGTCCTTCTCTTCACTAGATTAGCCAGGCCCAATTCCTGCAACCGTTCTTCATATGTTTTAGCCTCCAGTCCCCTAATCATCCTGGTTGTTCTTCTCTGCATGCTTTCTAGAGTCTCAATATCTTTTTTATAGTGTGGTAATCAAAACTGGGTGAAGTATTCTAGGTTTGGTCTTATTAAAGCTTTATAGGTGTGGTCTTACTTATAATCCCCAAGATGAATGCAGGTTGTAACCTAAAAGGACAGAGGGGCGAAAGAGCTGAGAGATACTTACTACTGTGTTCCTTAACTTGCTGTTCCAGCTGTTGGCAAGTCCGCGTTAAATCTGTATTTCTACCCCGGAGACTTCCTTGCTCGGCAACACTTTCTTCTAGCTTCTTCTGTAAAGACCCTACTTCCTCGTGGGAAGCGTGAAAGTCACTCTCGCGATCCTTAACCTTAAAGAAAGCAGCAACAGCAGGTTAACACAAGTTTCCGGCATCAAATGCTGCAAGATGCACTCTGTCTCAAAGCCCTTATGGGCAACTTCAAAAAAGAGACCAAAAACACATTTCTTCTCTTTCCGGAAGCCATGAATCCTTCGTGCTTCTGCATTTTTGAGGGACAGGTTCTGCTTGTTTGTGTGCACCAAGCGTTGTTTTCCTGTGCAGAGCACAAGAAGTTATCACCCACCTCCCCCACTCACCCCAGCTTAGCTTTGACTTCCTCTGCAATCACATTTCTGCAAGTTTCAGATGAGCACAGCAGTTCTGCTTTTGTTAAACCAAATGGCCTACAGCTGGCCACTGTAAAGCTCTTTCCCCCCCATATTTTACAGAAGGAAACTGAGTCCCCATGGGGAAGACAGCCTTGACGTACTAAAAGGAATAACGCAAGCAGTCACTTTGCCAGGATTGCACATTAAGACCTCATAATAATCAACATTTCAAAGCAGCTCAACAGCTGGACTGAGAGAAGAGAAGAGAATATATGGAGTGGAGTGGAAGAGAAAAGAGTAGAGAAGAAGAGAAGAGAAGAGAAGAGAAGAGAAGAGAAGAGAAGATATGAAATGGAGTGGAAGAGAAAAGAGGAGAGGAGAGGAGAATAGAATAGAATAGAATAGAATAGAATAGAATAGAATAGAATAGAATAGAATAGAATAGAATAGAATAGAATAGAATATATGGAGTGGAGTGGAGTGGAGTGAAAGAGAGAAGAGAACAAAAGAAAAGAAAAGAAAAGAAAAGAAAACAAAGAAAAACCACTGTAGCTTGCAGGTATTTCTCGACTTACCACCACAATTAAGCCCAACATTTCTGTTACTAAGCAAGACAGTTGTTAAGTAAGTTTTGCCCCATTTTATGGCCTTTCTTGCCACCGTTAAGTGAATCACTGCATTGGTTAAGTTAGCAACAAGGTTCTTAAGTGAATCTGGCTTCCCCATTGACTTTAGTTTTCAGATGGTCGCCAAAGGGGAACGCGTGACTTTAGGGACACTGCAAACCTCATAAATAGGAATCAGTGGCCAAACATCTGAAGTTTGATCATGTGACCATGGGTGTTGCTGCAATGGTCATAAGTGAGAAAAACCCTAAATCAATAGGGCACCCAGGATTCATGGATGCACCGAATGTCTGGGTCAGACAATTCACATTTTGGCCTCTATAAATATTGTTCCATCTTTAAAAAAAAATTTTTTTTAAAGACATAAAAGATTGTTCCATCTTTTTAAAAACAAGTAAAGACATAAAAGCACAATGTAAGATGCCCACCCTCTTCCCAGCTTCTTCTAATTGTTCGGTCAGCTCTTCCAATTTCAATCTTAAGACGTCTGTTTCTGCCAAAGCATCTTCTTTCAACTGTTTGGTTGACTGGATCTCGTGTTGTCTGTTAAGATATTAAGCAAAACACCAAAAATAGTGTACAGCAACGTTATTCAAAGCTGAATTACTCTCTCCAACATTGCAAGCAATTCTCTGTTAAGAGTAACTTTGGATTCCTGGAAGCTATATGTAGTCCTTGACATACAACAGTTCATTTACTGTCCAACTATTCACAAAGTCTGGACTACTATCACTGTTAATCTTCTCATCACTCCTTGTCACCCCTCCTCTCCCACTTGTGACTGTATGACTGTAACTTTGTCGCTTGTATCCTTATGATTTATATTGACTGTTTCCTAGTATGATTTGATTGCTTATTGTACCCTATGGCTATTATTAAGTGTTATACCTTATGATTCTTGACTCTTGACAAATGTGGCTTTTCTTTTATGTACACTGAGAGCATTTGCACCAAGACAAATTCCTTGTATGTCCAATCACACTTGGCCAATAAAGAATTCTATTTTATTCTATTCTATTCTGTTCTATTCTATTCTCCATTCAAAGGTACAGAGGGACTAAAAAGGGACATGCTGGCTGGGAAATTATGGAAGTAGAAATCCACAAATCTTAAGATTGCCAAAATTGCACATGCCTGACCTATGCCCTCTTACCTCCTACAGAAATGCATCATGTGGGTATCATGAGCTACCAATCCTCTTTGGGTTTAGCCTGATGGAGATATTACCACATGGCAAACCAAACTGAGAGCCTCTGTGGCGCAGTGGTTAGAGTGCAGCACTGAAAGCTACTTCTGTAGCCAGCTGCCTGCAATTTGGCAGTTCAAATCCCACCAGGCTCAAGGTTGACTCGGCCTTCCATCCTTCCCAGATGGGTAAAATGAGGACCCAAATTGTTGAGGGCAATATGCTGACTCTGTAAACCACTTAGAGAGGGCTGTAAAGCACTATAAAGTGGTATATAAGTCTAAGTGCTGTTGCTATTATTCACTGAACTGTAAGGAATTTGCAACCAAGTAGATACAGAAATCATACATTCTATACAATGAAGGACAACCTGGACAAAAGCATTTTCTTTAAATGTAGCTGTTCCGTTCTCATCCTCCGCATGTTTCCTGCCATTTTAATGAGCTCCTTATCCAGGGATTCCTTCTGAGCTTCCAAAAAATTCAGTTTCTGGAGCCATTGGGTTCTTTTATTCTCCAGAGTTTTCTTGAGGTCCTGTGTGGATGTCAACACAAATATCTATAGAGTACAGCCATCTCTTGGTTGAATTAAGCTCACAGCTCTTCCATCTTGTATTCAATATCCATCTCACACACACATATAAAACATCATGTGGTTACAGACTGCTTGGGAATTGGGCAACTTTGAGGGTGGGGGGTTAGGGGTGGGGTGTAGTTTATCAGGAGCCAACTTCATGAGAATACACTACACAACATCACGGTTCTTTCTTTTCCAAGAAATACAGAAGAGTAGCTAAGGAACCCTAGTGGTGGAATTGTTAAAAAGCAAAGCCTAACTCTGCCCACAGTTTGGAGTTCGATCCTAACCGGCTCAAGGTTGACTCAACCTTCCGTCCTTCCAAGGTTGGTAAAATGAGGACTCAGATTGTAAACCACCCAGAGAGTGCTGTAAAGTACTATGGAGTGGTATATAAGTCTATTGCTATGTTGGGGTGGTGATTATCTTCAATTACGCTCATATTATTGCTCCTTCCTATTGTCTGTTTGCTTAAGGCAATACCAGTGCTTTTTTTTATAAGCTAAACCCACTTTAACAAAAATCAATATTTTTAGTTCACATTCTGGCCCAAATAAAGCCTGATTGCTTGATTCACACAACAAGTGAAGACATAGGGCAGTGTTGGCGAACCTTTTCGGCACTGAGTGCCGAAATGGGAGCGTGCGTGCGTGTGCGTGGGAGCTTAGGAAACTGGAAGAGCAGCTCCCCAGCGCACACACGTGGGAACACCGAAAACCAGAAGAGCAGTACCCTGGCATGCATATGTGCACTGGAAATCTGAGGTCCGTTTCTGGCATGCGCATGCACACTGGCCACCTGGTCTTTCGGTTTCTGGTGTGCATGTGCGCATGAAAGCCAGCTGGCCAGCATGCATGCGCATGCCAGAACCCAGAAGAGCAACGGGCGATGGCCGGTGTGCCCGGAGAGATGGCTCTGCATGCCACTTCTGGCACATGTGCCATAGGTTCGCCATCACAGTCATAGGGTTAGGGTTATCATAGTTGGGTTCTACTCAGATTGCAATTGCGACCAGGATTCTATCAGAAACCATCCCATTCTTTTTCACTAAGGGGATTTATGGACCATCAAGGCTTTCTTTCCTCAGATCCTTAGAAGTACTTCGGTGGAATCCTGACTATAACCATCAACCATGGAAGTGATTCTGCTGCTTTAGAAATTCTGAGAAGAATGAATGCTAGATGCCAAGCTCTTGTTAACAGAAACCCTCACATTAGCACCCCCAGAAAGGAAAAAGAAAGAAAGAAAATAATCTAAAAACAGATTGGATATTTGGCAGCTGAAGGGAACATCTTTCAATTCTGTCTTTGCCTGATCTACTTACTGAGTGGGAGCTGCAAAGCCATCAAGCTACCATTCCCTTTAGAGGACCCAAATTTGTAAGGCAAAAATATTTACCATGGAATCACAGATATAAAATGTTCTGATACCTACAATTGCGTGTTTGCTGGGAATTCATACTCCAATTCATAGACTTAAGACTTAGAATAACTTTATTGTCACTTTGAATGTACACTAATCAGCGTACATTAAAATGAAAATTTCATTGCATACAGCTCTCAAAGGGTCTCCACACTTGAAGGGTGCTGGACTAATTAGAGGTGAGCCAATGATTACAAGGGAATTTATCATCAGGGAAGATAACCTAAGAGCATGTTTGCCTGCCATTCAAGGGTTATTTACCATCAAGGTCTTCTGATAAGTTTCTTGCAGATCCAATTCCCAGTCTGTTGGGTTCAGCAAAGGCAGCCCTGCTAAATCTTCTCGCTGTAAAGAAAGAGTGAGATTTATTTATTTATTTTATTTTATTTATTTATTTTTATTTGTCAATTGCTTACAAGATAGGTATAAGTAAAAACATAGTTATGAATACATGGATACATATAAGAAAAATAAAAATATATATAAAAGAAACAATAGGACAAGGATGGTAGGCACGTTGATGCGCTTATGCATGCCCCCTACAGACCTCTTAGGAAAGGGGTGAGGTCAATAGTAGACAGTCTAAGGTTAAAGTTTTTGGGGTTTGGGGAAGAAGCCACAGAGTCAGGTAAAGTATTCCAGACATTGACCACTCTGTTGCTGAAGTCGTATTTCCTGCAATCAAGTTTGGTGCGATTAACCTTGAGTTTGTATATTGTTTGCTCTAGTGTTGTTATGGTTGAAGCTGAAGTATTCATTGACAGGTAAGACATTGCAATGTATGATTTTATATACTATACTTAGGATCGGGCCGAAGGCGGCATAGTTCTAGGTTTTCTAGGTCTAGAATTTCGAGTCTGGTAGCATAAGGTATTCTGCAACAAGTAGAGGAGTGGAGAACTCTTCTTGTGAAATATTTCTGGACTTTCTCAACTGTGTTAATATCAGATACGTAATGTGGGTTCCAGACTGATGAGCTGTATTCGAGTATTGGTCTAGCAAATGTTTTGTATGCTCTAGTTA